AGGACCATCCCCACTCGACTGTGATAGCCAGGGTGCCGTTGCACTCGCCAAGAACCCTGTGTTGCACAGCCTCACCAAGCACATGAGGGTGAAATGGCATTGGACGAGGAGCATGGTGGCCGCGGGTGAAGTTGAGTTGCACTACGTGAAGATGACGGGGCAGCCAGCTGACATGATGACTAAAAGGCTGGTGGAACAGCAGCATTGGAAGTGTTGCAAGCTGGCTGGGATGGCTCTGAACTGAGAGGAGCAGATCCTAAGGCCAACAATCTGGGGGGGAGTTTGTTGGTGCAACCCCATGGTTTGCATGCGTGTTCGTGCATGCGTGTGTGCGTGGAATGGTATGAGGGCATGAGATAATATATATTTCATGCTTATAATGGTGTGCGAATGATGAGTCATGATGTCGAATGTGTGTGTCGAGTCAATAGCGAGTTATGGCTATTCGCGTGTCACGTCGTCGTTTGTGTGTCGTGCGCGTTTTCTATTTTGTCGTGTGTGGAACGTTCGGCGTGTCGCAGGTGTGCGCAGCAGACTTCCAAGAACTCAAGGAAGAATTTATCTTGAAGAACCAGAGCCTTGGTTGCAAGATTCAAGTGATCTCGAAGCTCGCCAAAAGGGTAGACTTAAAGATACTGAGAATAGTAACATTACAATTTGTAGTGTAACATTTCTCTTGGTGTAGGCCTTTGTGGAGGGTAGTTTTGAGACCCTTCTTGGTTGGGGACAGTGTGGCACTGTTCCACATCACTGTACCTCGGCTCTTGGTGTTTGTAGAGGCTGGGAGTCATTCCCAACTCGTAACTCTTCCTAATTTGTGTTCTAAGACTATAGTGGCTGCCATAGTGCCGTTCGTTCAAACCAACTTTGCGTCGTCAATACTTGATAAAATCGTGCGATGTAAATTGCCTATTGTAGGCGACATCAAGACGCTCCATATCCAATTTATAGAAAGTCATTTGGATATGTGAACAGAACGCTATCAACGTTTGAAGCCGCTATGCAGAAATTCGACTGTGCACTCTATCTTTCGTTTTAGGCACATTCAAGCCCATTGTGACTATAACACACGGGGCCACTGCGAAGCCGCCGACTATGGGAAGCCGGCGGCCGACTTCTACTGGTGGTCAACGACGGGGCTCGTCGACCTGGGAGGGGCGCCGACTTGGGAGGGTGCCAACTTTGGGAGGTCGACTTGGCGAAGTCGACTTGGGAGGGCGTCGACTTGATGGCGCCGACCTGGGGAAGCCGACTTGGTCCAGTCGGCGAACAGCAGGTCTGGTCGACCAGAAGTGGTCGACCTAGGGAGTGGCCGACTTGGTGAATTCGGCTGGTCGTCTTCGACTTGTGTGGTCGACGAGCACGTACAACTTTCGGTCGACTTTTACCGAGCAAGTCGATGCCGACCTGGTGGTTTCCAGGTTGACCAAGTAACCAGGGCGACGAGGGTCTGCGGGACACGCTGTTAGAATTGAGAGAAGTGTGTGAACTAGAAAGACAAGAGAGTACAAGTACCTAACCCTAGAATTGTGTACCCCCTAAAGGCTAACCCACTGTAGCCTAAACAACTACAACATATATAATCTTTGACACACCCCCATAGGCGAAGTGGGGGAGAGCAAGGGGTCACAAGACCAGTCAGAGCAAAGCACAGCAAAACAAGCTCAGGGTGGATCTCAAGGATACCACACAAATTCCGAGCACAAGCAAGTGGTCACAAGACCAGTTCACATGCAGTTTGATAATATAACAAGAGGTACAGTGATCACAACCTAGCAAGTGAAAGCATGCAGGTATATATAGAGATCACAGTACAAGCAGAGTCAAGAAGTGAGCAAGTGAGGGACAGTAGGCACAAGGCCTAGAACAGTACGGAAACGCTGATGATCACAAGGCTGAAGCGCCTTGGTGAACACATCAGCAGTGTTGGCCCGAGTGGCCACGTACGAAAGACGAAGCTGACCACGCTGCTGCAGCTCTCTAGCAAGGAAGTAGCGCAGAGCGATGTGCTTCGTTCTGTGCTCCAGTCTGTGCTCCTGACACAAGGCAAGGGCGGCCTTGTTGTCGACGTACAGCACTGGAGGAGAACGAGGCCGCTCTCCCAGGTCGGTCAGCAGGTAGGTGAGCCAGCGAAGCTCCTGGGCAGCCATGGCTGTGGCGTAGATCTCAGCCTCACAACTGGAGCTGAGAACAGAGGAAGAGCGTGTAGAACGCCAAGAAACTGAGCCAGAGCCAATGCTGAAGGTGTAACCCTGAGACGACCGCTGAGTAGCCTGGTCGTCAGCCCAAGAAGCGTCTGAGTGTCCAGTGAGGACAACGTCGCGCCGTCCTCCAAGCACAAGCCCCATGCCCGACGTACTGCACAAGTAGCGCAACACCCTCTTAGCGGCATCCATGTGCTCCTTCCGGTGACGGCCAGGAGCGACATAGCGTGCTAGGATGCTAAGAGGGTAGGCTAGGTCAGGTCGAGTGCAGGTCATCAGGTACATGAGGCAGCCCACAAGCTCTGGATACGGGCCACTCGGCTCTACGGACTCATCCGAAGGCAGAGCTGAGAGCGAGTGACCGGTAGGCAGAGGAGTGGGCTGAGGCGAGGAGTACGTGAAGCGGAAGTGCTGAAGGACCTGCTGCACCATGTGTGACTGAGTCAAGGTGATGGTGCGCTGTGCTCTGTCCCGGGTGATCCGCAAGCCAAGACAGCTTGTCAGCTCACCTAGGTCTGTGCACGTGTGTCTCTTCTGAAGCTCCGACTTTACATGGGCGAGTGCCTCAGTGTCAGCAGTAGCAAAGACCAAGTCGTCTACGTACACGAGAACGTAGAACGGCGGCAGAGTGGTGTCGGTGCGTAGAAACAGCGACGGGTCAGCAGTGGAAGGAGCAAACCCAAGAGCAGCAAGAGTAGTCCTCAGTGTGTCGTGCCACTCACGGGGTGCCTGGCGGAGACCGTAGACTGGCCGCCGGAGGCTCCACTGGGTACCAGGAGGGAACGACCCAGTGAAGCCAGGTGGGCGGCGCAGCCAGATCTCCTCGTGCAGGGTGCCCTGTAGGAACGCAGTGCTGAAGTCAAGGCAGTGGAGCTCGTAGTCACGCTGAGCAGCGACGTGCAGCAGAACCCGAAGAGTGGTCATCTTCGGGGTCGGGGAGAAGGTCTAGAAGAAGTCAACTCGCTGACTGAAGCCTCGTGCAACGTAACGCGCCTTGAAGACAGGCGGAGAATCCGGCGGCCGCTTCACCCTGAAAATCCACATGCCACTGACGATGTTCGCCCCAGATGGGGGAACCTCGTCGACGTAGGTGCCTGTGGACTTCCAGGAAGCCATCTCTGCGTCCATGGCTGTCTGCCACTGAGAGGAGTAGAGACCCTCCATCGCCTCTGCGTAGGAGCGTGGGGTTGGGATGTCTGGTGCATCCGGGTCTCCCTCAGGGGCAATCAGCATGGACACGAGATGAGGTAAAGCAGCGGCGAAGCACTCAAACTCCTCCTGTCTGTCCTCAAGGACGTCCGTGCCAATAGCACACTCACCCCCGACGGACGGAGGACAGACAGACTCAGACTCAGCAACAAGGCTAGCGGCGTAGTCTAGACGACAGGCGGCAGCAAAGTCAACAAGCTCAGCGACTAGAGCAGACGCAGCAGAGGACTCAAAGGTAGGGTCAGTGACAACAGTGGCAAGGAGACGCGCGACAGTAGGACTGGCAGCACGAAGAGAGTCAGACTCCGGGTCAGCGAGAGCAGGAAGAGAGGACGCTGGTGGAGACGGCAGAGGGACACGCTGTGGAGCAGTGGTCGAACGCAGTGTCATATAGTGAGTGCCAAGGACAGGAGGAGGACGCTGACGCGGAGCACGACGACCACCGCGGGCAGTGCGGACAGGTGACTCTGGACGCGACTCAGGCGACTCTGGACTAGACTCAGGCGACGGAGGACGAGACTCAGGCTCACGACGCGCCGTAAAGCTACCTGTCGGCGCAGTGTAAGGAGAAGGACCAGGCAGCGGAGAGGCAGGCTGTAACTGTGACCGCGACTGGACAGGCGGTGGACTCAGTAGGGGAGGAGGAGTAGGACCAGGAGAGGGCGGGAGACCAAGAACCTGCTGAAGGAGCGGAACGTAGTACGGCCGCAGCCGCTCAGTACCTCCAGCTCCAACCCCCTCAGCACCACCAGCAGCACCTCCAGTAGCGTCAGCACCAGCAGCACCTCCAGCAGCGCCAGCAGCACCGCCAGCAGCAGCAGCACCTCCAGCAGCTCCACCAGCACCAGCACCAGTAGTACCTCCAGCAGCTCCAGCAGCACTAGTACCAGCAGCACCAGTACCAACAGCACCTCCAGCAGCTCCAGCAGCACCACCAACTGTTACGATACGATCTTAACTAGAGTACGGGTTTAACTAAGGGCCTAGGCTTAGTAGCCTAGGCCAAACGGGTGTCGAGGGAGTTGTGCCAAGGGAGAATCGAGAATGTGTGTCTTCACTATAGGTTTGCAAGAACATATAGCAAAGAAACAAAGAGGTGCACCACCACAACAAAGAAACATAACTACACTAAAGCTAAAGCTACAGGCAGTTATAAACATATATAAATATATATCGCGACACACCCCCTTAACTGCCTGCAGCACATAGCTAGAGCAAGTCACACCCCCTGAAGGGGTATAGCAGGTGCGGTGGGAGACGGCAGAGGGGTACGTGAGGAGGAGGAGGCAAGAGGAAGAGAGGAGAGGAGAATAGATAAGAACACAGGAGGAGGTGAGTGGGGGATGAGGAGAGGAGGTGGGGGGGTGGCCGCAGCGTCCCCTCTTACTAACCCCCTTTTACGAAAGGGGGGTTGAGTGGGGGATGAGGAGAGGAGGTGGGGGGGTGGCCGCAACGTCCCCTCTTACTAACCCCCACATCCCCACCCCCAACCAACCACCCGCCCTCAACCTCACCCCCCATTTCAGCCGCCCCCTGGAACCGCACTCCCTCCACCCCTGTATTCCTCCATACCTCTCCCAACCCACGATGGTCCCTGTACAGTCTTTCACAAGTGGGCTGCTGGGCACAGGTGGGGCTGCTGGTCATAGGTGGGGCTGCTGGTCACAGGTGGGGCTGCTGGTCACAGGTGGGGCTGCTGGTCACAGGTGGGGCTGCTGGTCACAGGTGGGGCTGCTGGTCACAGGTGGGGTTGCTGGTGCTGGTGCTGGCGGCTGGCGCTGGGGCTGGTTCCTGGTGCTGGCGGCTGGCGCTGGGGCTGGTTCCTGGTGCTGGCGGCTGGCGCTGGGGCTGGTTCCTGGTGCTGGCGGCTGGCGCTGGGGCTGGTTCCTGGTGCTGGCGGCTGGCGCTGGGGCTGGTTCGTGGTGCTGGCGGCTGGCGCTGGTGCTGGTTCCTGGTGCTGGCGGCTGGCGCTGGGGCTGGTTCCTGGTGCTGGCGGCTAGCGCTGGGGCTGGTTCCTGGTGCTGGCGGCTGGCGCTGGGGCTGGTTCCTGGTGCTGGCGGCTGGCGCTGGGGCTGGTGCCTGGTGCTGGCGGCTGGTGCTGGTGCTGGTTCCTGGTGCTGGCAGCTGGCGCTGGTGCTGGTTCCGCCGCCACTCCCTTCCCCTCCTCTCTCTCCTTTCCACAGCGTCCCGCCGCCACTCCCTTCCCCTCCTCTCTCTCCTTTCCACAGCATCCCGCCGCCACTCCCTTCCCATCCTCCCTCTCCTCCCCATGGCGACCGCCGCTGCACACGCAAACAGTCGCGACGGGGGGGGGGTGACGGGCAGGGGGCGGGGGGAATGCGACGGGCAGAGCGGGCGAATGAGCGGCTGGGGCGATCGCCGGTGCTCTGGCGATCGTCGCTGGCGTTCCCCCGTCACTCCTATCCCCTCTTCCCTCTCGCCCCCACAGAATTCCGCCGCCACTCCCATCCCTTCTTCCCTCTCCCCCCCACAGCGACCGCCGGTGCGACAGGCGAGGTGCAGGGTGGCGCTGGCTGCAGTCGATGGCGCAAACGCGATCGCGGGCCGCTGGCGACTTCGCTGGCGACTTCACTGGCGGGTCGCTGGCGGTCGCCATAGCGTCCGCCGCGCCCGTCTCGCTGAGAGCCGCGACGAGGCAGGCGACGACGATGCGACGGGCAGGCGACGGGGGGCAGCGCGAGCAGCAGGGAAAAAAAAAAAGATACGCAAGGTGCGGATTTCGCGCCACTAACTGTAGCAGTCGCGAAATGTGATGGGCCCATAAACGAAATAGGTCCTAGGACGGACCGCTCTGTTACCATATTACGATACGATCTTAACTAGAGTACGGGTTTAACTAAGGGCCTAGGCTTAGTAGCCTAGGCCAAACGGGTGTCGAGGGAGTTGTGCCAAGGGAGAATCGAGAATGTGTGTCTTCACTATAGGTTTGCAAGAACATATAGCAAAGAAACAAAGAGGTGCACCACCACAACAAAGAAACATAACTACACTAAAGCTAAAGCTACAGGCAGTTATAAACATATATAAATATATATCGCGACACCAACAGCGCCAGCAGGACCGCCAGCAGCAGCAGCACCTCCAGCAGCTCCAGCAGCACCAGCACCAGCAGCACCAACACCAGCAGCACCTCCAGCAGCTCCAGCAGCACCAGCACCAGCAGCACCAGTACCAGCAGCACCTCCAACAGCGCCAGCAGGACCGCCAGCAGCAGCAGCACCTCCAGCAGCTCCAGCAGCACCAGCACCAGTAGTACCTCCAGCAGCTCCAGCAGCACCAGTACCAGGGTCCACGACACGAGTAGCGCCACTCCGGAGACTGCAGAGTCGAGCGTACCACTCTCTAAGCCGCTGAGGAGAGGGCGGCTCCCGCCGAGGAGGGGGGGCACGAGCACCGGCTCCAGAAGCACCCCTCCTGAGGCTGCAGTACTGTAAGTACCACTCACGCAGCTGCTGTGGGGAGGGAGCGCCTCCAGGTGTAGCACCCTCTGGCTCAGTACCCTCAGTCGTAGCTCTGCCAGGCTCAGCACCCCCAGACTCAGCACCCGCAGGCTCCGCACCCCCAGGCTCAGCACCCCCAGACTCCGCACACTCAGGCTCAGCACCCCCGGACTCCGCAACCCCAGGCTCCGCACGCTCAGGCTCAGCACCCCTAGCAGGACGAGAGTCGACAGCTACCTCGACAGGCTCAACTGGGTCTACCTGGGACACACCTGAGGGAGCGGCACCCTGAGGGGGGAGGGGGTCTACCACAGCAGCACCTGGCGTGAGGAAGAGAGGCGGAGGGGGGAGCGGGGTAGTGCGGTAGGGGAAGAGGCGGTAGTAGGGCACCGACTCGTCAAAAGTGACGTCCTGAGAGGGCAGGACACGGCGCGAGGTGGCGTGGTAAAACTGCCAACCAGACGCGTCGGGGACAAAGCCAAGGAAGACGCAAGGAACAGCGCGGGAGGAGAGCTTGTCCGCGGACGTATCGCGAACAAAAGCTCGAGATCCCCAGACCCAAAAACGCGACGCATCGCCAACCTCTCCCGTCCAACGCAGTGTCGGTGAAGTCTCCGGAACGGAGACACGGGGCCAGAGGTTGAGCTGATGCGCAGCATATCGGACCGCAAACGGCCACAGAAAGTGGGGAGCAGCCGCATGGATCAAGGAGGTACGAGCGACCTCCATGACCAAGCCAATGCGGCGCTCAGCAACCCCATTCTGCTGTGGAGAGGCCGGAAGCGTGAACGAGTGGCGGATGCCATGCTCCGCACAGTAGGCTGCCAGGAGGTCGGAGGAGAACTCACCACCTCTGTCAGAGTGCAGACGCAGGACAGGAAAGTCCGAGTGGAACCGCTCGCTGAGCTGGAGACGAGAAGCGCTGATCCAAGGGATCAAAACATCAGGGACCTCACCCTTGGTGCGCAAGGGGAAGACCGTGGTGTAGCGCGAGTAGTCGTCAACAACGATCAGGAAGTACCTCTCCTGACCCTGTCCACGGACGCGGGCCGGGCCCCACACGTCCATGTGGAGTGTCTGCAAGGGAGCAGTCGTCGGGGGAAACGAGGAGGAGTGAGGAGCGGCGCGCTGCCGCCCCTCGACACAGGGAAGACAGGGAGGAGCAGGCGAGGGTGGGAGGGGAGGGAGAACCCTGGGAAGACCAGAGACAAGGTACCGTTTGTGCATGGCACGAAGGCGCTGCACTGACGGGTGACCAAGGCGGTGGTGCCAGAGGACGGTCTCGTGCGGTAGAGAGCGACACGAGCAGGGGGCCGACAGCTGACCTGACGCAGACGCAGACGCAGCTACCTGAGGGGACTCAGTGGTCAGTGTGTACAGGTCCGACCCCGGCTGCCGAGTGAAGGTAGCCAGGTGACGGCCCGTCCGAGCACACGTGCAGTGTGTCACGCGCTCGTAGGCAGGGGTGAACTGGTGGACACCCCCGTCCTGGAGCGCACAACCCGCCACCAAGTTCGTAGAGAACGAGGGGAGGTGGAGACCTGACAGTGTGCCCGACGGAACCGCAGGACAAGGAAGGACAGTGGAGGAGGTCGCAATGACAGGACCCCCAGAGGGGTCAGCAAGGGAGACAACAACTGGCCGAGCAAGCTGCTCAAGGGCAGTGCGGTCACGAAAGAAACAGCGAGAAGCTCCTGAGTCTAGAGTGAAGGTGTGCAGTGCCTCAGTGGACTCAGTACCAGGGGGTGCAGACTCACTAGCACCTAGAGCAGCAGCCTCACCAGCACCTGGGGCAGCAGACACGCAAGCACCTAGAGCAGCAGCCTCACCAACACCTGGGGCAGCAGACACGCAAGCACCTAGAGCGGCAGCCTCACTGGTCCGAATTCCCGGGTCGGGCGGAACACGCACATGGCACCAAGAATAGCATCAAAGTCAAGAGCATAGATATCAATGTTCTTCCTCATCAGCTCAGCCCAGCGGGGCAGCTCAGTGGCAGCAGGGAACTGAGTGCGCCAAGCGTCGTCAAGGCGGGAGAAGCAGCGCTGGGTGGTGTGCGCCCTCCCGCACGTCTGGCCAGTGCGGTCACCAGTGCGGATGACGTACGTGCAGCTAAGGCCACCCCCCCCCCCGTGCTGAGAGTACCACTCACGAAGCTCCTGGGACGACTGAGTGCGCTGCTGGCTCTGGCCACCGCCAGTGCCTCCACGACCACCACCGCCGCCGCCACCACCTCGACCACCACCGCCCCTGCCGCCGCCACGTCCACCGCCGCCCCCACCACCGCCCCCACCCCGGCCACCTCCTCCGCCGCTGCCGCCACCACCCCCACCACTGCCACTAGCCTCTCCAGCCCCGCCACCACCCCCACCGCCTCCACCGCCCCCACCACCGCCTCCCCCGCCGTCACCTCCACCTCCCTTGCCCCCTTTGCCCTTGCCGCTGCGGCGCCAACTCGGAGCGGACGCAGTCCCGACCTGCTCAGTACCAACGAGGTCGACAGCAGCAGCAGAGGCGACAGAGGGGAGAAGGGGGGAAGGGGAACATCCCTCGAAGAAAGGGGTGCGGGGGTCGCCACGAGAGGCAGCTACAGCGACTGTGCTAGTCTCAGCTGCAAGCAGTTCCTTCTCGAGCAGGTCAACGGTGAGCTCAGTGGGGCAGCGAGCGAGGAAGTGGTCCCTGACCACACGAAGAGAGTCAGGGAGGCGGGTGACTAGGTGGTAGAGAGTGAGCCAGAGCGGGGGGGGGGGGTGCGTGGCGAGAAACTCAGCAGGCATAGCGGCACGGAAGCGAGCCTCACTAGTGCGGAGGTGCGTGATGAGGTCAGCGACTGTGGAGAAAGCGGACAGGTCTGGGAACATGTAGGGAAGCGAGAGACGGCCTAGCGTAGCAGAGGCAGGTGAGGAGTAGCGTGCAACTACAGCAGTGTACAGTGCCTGCGCAGTCTTGTGCTGGCCAAAGTGCTCGCGCTCATCTACCGGCAGGGAGTTGCGAATAGCGAAGCGAGCGTGGGCGTCACGAGTCTGCCACTGTGAGCGGGCAGTACTGTCAGCAGTGGTAGCAGGGGCAGCAGCGAGTCCTAGTGCGTGATCGTACAGCGAGATGTCCTCCTTGGCAGTGAGCTGGAGGAACAGGTGCAAGTCATCGAGCCAGGTGTCAAGCTTCAGCGGGCGGCCCTCAGCATCGAAAGCGAGCACAGCAGGGCTAGCCATAGTAGCAGTAGGAGCAGTAGCAGTAGTAGCAGCAGGAACAGCAGTAGAGTCAGTAGTAGTGACAGTAGCAGTGGCGCGGCTCGGTAGGGCGGCGCGGCTCGGTAGGGCGGCGCGGCTCGGTAGGGCGGCGTGGTTCGGTAGGGCGGCGCGGCTCGGGCCAGGTGAGGCGGCTCGGTTCGGCGGCGGCAGCTACGCGAGGTGGGGCACGCAAGGGCGTGCAGGGCAGTGCGGGGCCGGTCCGCTCGGTGCACTAAGTGGCGGGCTAGCGAGGGCGGGGCCGGTACGCGAGGGGCACGCAAGGGCGCGCGGGTGGGCGTGGGCCGGTCGCACTGGGCACGAAGTGGCGGCTAGCGAGGGCGGGGCCGGTACACGAGGAGCACGCAAGGGCGTGCGGGTGGGTGGAGGCCGGTCGCACGGGGCACGTAGGGGCGTGCGCTAAGGGGCGGGGCCGGTCCGTAAGAGGCACGCAAGGGCGGGCGGGGCAGCGAGCGCGCGGGGCCGCACAGGGCACGTAAGGGCGCGCGGGGCTAGGCGGGGCCGGTCGCAAGAGGCGCGCTAGGGCGTGGCGACGGCGTGGGCGGCTACACAGTCGCGCGCACCAGAAAAAAGGGCCGCGCGGGCAAAAAACGGGCCGCGCGCGGGCGGCTAGCGGGCGACGCGACTGAAAAGCGAGGCGCGAGGGCGCACTAGAAGAGAGGCGCACGAGGGCGCAAGTAAGAGAAGGCGCACGAGGGCGCCACTAGCGGAACGGTGGGCCCTTAGGAACGGTAGGTCCTAGGTTCCTAACCTAGGCTCGTAATACCATGTTAGAATTGAGAGAAGTGTGTGAACTAGAAAGACAAGAGAGTACAAGTACCTAACCCTAGAATTGTGTACCCCCTAAAGGCTAACCCACTGTAGCCTAAACAACTACAACTTATATAATGTTTGACACACGCGACAGTCG